AATATTCTAAATATTCTAATAATAATTATTAATCTATTAGATATCTTTTTATAATATATATATAAAAATTTATTTTATCAATCTTTTTAAGATTTAAAAAGTAAAAAATAATTTATTATCTATTTTTAATATATAAAGAATGTCTTCTAAAATTTTATTATAAATTTTGGATCTTTAATTAGATATAATATTACTTAAAAGTTTATAGTATATATATATATATATATATATATATATATATATATATTTATATATATATATAATTTAAATTTCATATTTATTTACATATTAATTTTTATTTTATATAAAATACATGTGATTTTGTATTAAAGTATATCATAATAAAAATAGACTCACAAGAATATAAAGTTGATAAATTTTCAATAAAAGGTACCAACAAACAATTAATTTTTAAAAATTATAAATGATGGTTGAAAAATTTTATATAATTGATGACCTCAAGGATTTTCTTTATAAAACTTATATATTAAGATTAATAAAATTCTCTTACAAAAAGTTTACATTTGATGCTACAAGTTATATTTAAATTATAAGCTTATAAAGTTAAATTTTTCCAAAATTTTGGATTTTGGAGAATTTAGATTGTATATAATCTTTTAAATCATATTAACATTCTAAAACAAAACTGTCTTAAAAATATGTCATATTAAAATAATCATAAATATTACTTTGATTCTCAGCAAGAAGAAGGTTTATTTAAATAACCAAAAAGAATTTATCAAGAGATATAAAATAATTAAAATTCATTGATTAAATAATTCAAAAATACGATTGCTTAAGTTTTAGAAAAACAACATAATATTAATCATGTATGACATGTTTTCTATTTAGTAAAATATATTAATTTCTAGACATTACATCTAAAAAAATATTATTTTTTAAAAATAATATGTAATATTCAATATAAATATTGATTAAAAAATATTTCAATGATTTTTCAAAAATTCAAATGCTTATTAATATAAAGTACTAAAACTTCCTATGATTAGCATAAATTACAATAAGATTAGATGTATCTTTAAATATGAATTAAATCCTTAAAATAAATCTACAATATCAAAGATTTTTTCATTCTAAGATTTATTATTAATGGTTGTTATTACATATGTTTTTAAATAAAATAATGGTTTAATAGAATCTATTATCTATATGAAATTTCAAATAATTTTGTATAGAATAAAAAATCTTATGTGTTTGTCTCTTAAGTAAATGGATTAAAAAATTCATTATTATCTTAACATCATATGAAAGACAAAGATTATATAATTTTTGTAAATATTTGTTTTACAAATCATTGATTTTTTTAATCTATATTTTTAAGATTAAGTGGGAACTTACAAAATATTTCTTATAAGTATCTAAAAATAATTAGAAAATTTTTAACAGCATTAAAAAATCATATATAATTTCAAAAGTTGTTATTTTTTATTTTTTTATATTTTTTTGAGAATCCATCTTTATACATTTAAGTGCTATTAAACTTAAATACAACCATGATATATTATATAAACTATTTTCTATAAAAATTTATAAAATTATATATATATATATAATCATATGTACAAAATTTTCAAAAATTAATATTAGATAAGAATACATCTATAATATCTTTAATGTAGCATAAATATATATATATATATATATAAAGAGAGAGAGAGAGAGAGAGAGAGAGAGATGTTAGAGCCACATTCTTATTTTCTTGATACCACATCCCTTGCCATCTCATAATTAGTTCAATCTATCCTAGTCCCTCATCTCAAACTGCCTCATTTCCAGCACCTATCTTCCATTCCCACTTCCTATCATTGTAAATGGCACCAATAACCTTAGATATAGATGCTTTATAATATGATTTTTTTGTGACTAAAACATTGTTGATGTCGCATTGCAATCTTATAATTGTAATTAAAAGTTAATACCTAGGTTGATTTCTTGAATAAGAAGCATGCATTGTTTTAAATGTTGATTTCATTTCTATAAAATGGGAATGGAAATGGGGAAGAAGAGCTATGAACAAGGACAAAGGATTTGAGACAAGGGATAAGGAATAAGGACATGGGTTTGAGACGAGGGATAAGATACAAAAATGGGAAGATTTAGAATCAGAGATGGGAGATGGAAATGAGGGACTTGGAATAGAATGAATTATTCATGAGATGGTAGAGGTGGTTTGGCATTAACAAAATAAGGGTATGGCTTTTACAACTCCCTATGTAAATAAATAAATATATATATATATATATATATATATATATATAATCTTCATAATTTTTTATTTATTTTTTTTTAGCTCTTTATTTTAAGATAAACATAAATATTAGACATTAAATTTTTAAAAAATAAAACACAATTTTCTTTAAAATATTAAGTTAAAAAGAAACTAAAATTGTACTATGTCAATCTATAATCTTTTTTTTCTTTACTTTACTATTTTTCTTTTGATTAAATATTTGTAAAAAATAATAGTAATGACAATAGTACAATATAGATAATGAAGTAAAAACATATGATTTTTTAAAAAAATTCATAATTTTAACTACTTAAATCTTTTTTTTAATATCTTAAATTTTAAATAAGATATTTAGAAGAAGGTAAAATAAAAATAAAAATAAACTACTAAATTTTATAAATTAAGCATAATACATAAGAATTTAAAAATTAAAAACTAAAATAAACTACTAAATTTTATAAATTAAGCATTATACATAAGACTTTAAAAATTAAAAAATTATAATTTCTTCACATCCTGCATTGGTAAGATAAAGATATCTAATTTTTTTTCTTTTTATTTATATTGTAGAAACAGATTTTACTAAAAGCTTTTCAAAAGAATTTTAAATAATCTGGAATATTTTAAAAATTAAAAACTCTTAATTAGAAATGTTTAGAAGTAAGTTTAAAATTATGATTCATTATAAAATATTATACAATAAAAATATAAAGTTAATTTTAATATTCTAGAATTGATATATATATATATATATATATATTTAAATATATAAAATATAAATGGATATATATACAAAATAAGTAAATTAAAGAAGGTTTTGATTAAATTTACTTTAAATTTGGAAGATAGATAACTTTATAATTGAAGTTTAATGCACAATTGTATTTAGTTTATCAATTTAAAAAACTTGCACATAATACCATTAATTGTTTCTATTAGTATTAATATTAGTCTTTTAATAGATATAATTTTATTTATATAATATTAAAAAATAATTAAATACAAATACTTAAAAATATAAAATATAAATACTTAAAAATATCCCTTTTATCTATATAGTTTATTGCCAATTAATCTTAATATTGGATGTTGTTGTAAAAACAACTTAGACTATATTATGATTGATTCTTTTTAAATCTTATATTTTTATTATAATATTTGATAATTTAATTAATTTTTAAAAATATATATATAATATATATCAAAATAACCTATAAAATACTAGAAGCAATATAAAAGAAAATAATAAAAAATATACATATATAACTTAAAAAATATCTATACCTTCCAAATTACTATAATGAATTTGAAGAGAAATTTATGGTTAATTTTTATCAAAACATATCACATTTTAAAATTACACATTTTGATTTGGTGAAGAAAAAATGTAATTAAATCAACACCAACTTGTCAAAATTTATTTTATGAATATATAGTTATAAATAAAATATAAAATATATAAAATATATTTTAAATTCTTTTATATTTATAATAGTATTTGTCAATTATAAAAAGCTTAGGGAGTCTTAAATTAATACTATTCTATACAAGATATATTAGAAAATTTAATAATATTATTATTCTTGATCTAATATATACTAACTAAGAAGAAGATAATGTAGAAGCTTTCAAACAACTACAAAGCTTGCAAACCATTTAAGTTATGAAATATTTCTAAGGTAAGTTCTTTAAACTAAGATTTTTTTTTTCCAAATATTCTTTTTGGGAAATGGTATATCAATAATACACTTAGAGAATCAATTTGCAACTTAAAAATATTTTTTCGTATTTTATAACAAAAATTATGAATGTAACTTATTTTTACTTATTTAATTTAATTCTATTCATTTAAGTAAAATAATTATGTTTACATAGAACTTATTAACCTGAATAATAAATTCTATGTTATTAATTAAATTGTGCAATATTATTATTTATTGAAATAATGATCTTTTAATACTATAAAAACTGAGTAAAATCATACAATGGTAAAAAAAATTGTTTGAAACAAATCAATTCATTTGTTTAATTAATTGTTTATTATTAATATTATTACATTGTAACATAATTTTTATCATAATTATCTTTATTATATTATACATATTTACAAAGCAATATATTATACATGGTACATAATACGTAGGATTTTAAATAAGCTCTTTTATTTTTAAATTAAAATTGTCTTGGGAATTATACATTGATTTATAATTTTAAAAAATCAACTTATCACATGCTCTTAAGAACACAAAACTGCACTCTAATCATTTAATATATATATATATATATATATATATATTTAAATTATTGTGCATGAGTAATATTGCACCAGATATTAATTTATAAATTTATCATCAAATACTAATAGCTCTGAATCAAATGAAATGTGACATAAAAATTAATAACATCATTTTCTCTATTCTTCAAATTGTGGCCTCTTTCATGTTGATATGTATCACATGACATGTCACATCCCAAACTTGATGTATCAAAATTGTTAAATCTAAATAATGAATCAAATATATATTGTCATCGTTCGAGCTATATAAGCTCTCAAGGTCAAATGCCCTCAACCACATACAAAGTACCAACAAATTTCCGCAATATGCAAGAACTAACTTCTTTTCTCTCACAAGCAACATAATGTACAGATAACAATACAGTTTCCAACTAGAGTATATTAATAACTTAATTTCACAGCGAAACATAGATAAAGGGGTGCAACTAGTAGAATGTCCTTTTGGGTTCAGTCTCACAAAACCCTAAAAGCCGGTCTTTCATGTCCACATGAAGTCTGATACTGAATCCAATCGTGGATTGCTTTGGCGACCTCCAAGTTGTTTTCCTCCAGCATCATCAGATGCCCGTTCCCCTTCAGCCCAATGTTTTCCAGCCGCAGCAACTCAGCATTCACGCCAGCTTGTTGCAAGAATTTCACCGAGCAGTGGTCATACAAAGCGTGATAAGATGCCTCACTCACGGTTATCACCACAGGGATTTGCTTCAGATTGGGCAGAGTGCGAGCCGGTTCCGCCTGCAACACACAGTCCTCGCGATCCGTCTCGTTCGATGGAATCCTTAGCTTAGAGATTTCATGTGGGGATGAAACGGGAGGGTTGTAGGTCATGGCGATGTCTGTCAAACCCCACGCTCGACTCGGACCATGCCCGAACAGTGAGGAGTCTTCGAACGGCGGGCCGGCAGGCTCGATGGCCACGATTGCTTTCACCAATGAAGGGCGCGCATCGGCAACGGACCATCCGTAGAGCCCGCCCCTGGGAGTGTGCGACTAATACTGCAGCTCCGATCACGTCCAGTAATGCGATGAGCCCGTCGCGTGTCCGAAACTGTGCCTCGGTGTCCTTTAAGAGGAACTGCAGGGTGGAAATCAAGGAGCTGTCGAAGACTGCATCGCCTTTCGTGCCATTCCCTGGCCATTGCGTGTGCTTGCTTGCTTGAGGCCACAAATTGTAATGTGCAACTCCCGTGAAGAACTGCGCGATTGAGTTTGTGGAAAACGTGGTCATGTCGAAGTCACCAGGTAACCAAGCAGAGCGACCTCGTGTTGGCTGGTCGATGATGTACACAACGTAGCCATGGCGTAGGAAATACGAAGCCCAGCCCGGTCGTCCGTCTGGTGTGTTGAGCCAAGTGTTTGCCCCGCTCATGGCTTTGCCATGAATGAGCACCAGCGGATATGGCTGCCTGGGTGTGCGGTCTGTCGACAACCTCTCCACATACATTTGGTTCTTCCTCAAGCTCCCGCCCGACGGTCCTTCTACATACTCCCCACCAACGTAGAAAAAGTCTCGGTGTACTGCTAGTTTATAGAGGCGATCATCTTCAGCACTAGGGTTACCAAGCACGATTCGAGATAAAAAGAAAACACTACACATGACGTAACGCGTCAACATGATACCAAAACTACCACTATAAGGGACGAACCAGCTCAATTACCAAAACGAGGCACTAGTCACCGACTACAAAAGCTGCTTTTCGAATGTCCTGATCTCGGAGGAAGCAAGTTGTGCAGGTGATACGAAACCTCGATGACTTTGGACGAGCTCCAGCGCCAAGAGGCCCGTGAAAAGTAAAGAAAATCATGCAGAATTTCTGACGAACGGCCTTTAAACTGACGCATTATCCTGTCTTGCCAATGACTACACATTATATTCTCATTGTCGTACCGGAACAGTACTTTCCATCTAAGTGCCGATCAATCGCAGGACTAACATAGCCGGGGAGGTTTTCGTGATGGCAACTGTTCGAAGCTAATTACTCGCATTGAAGTATGACTTCTTTCGAATTTCCACTTGCTTCATTCTGCCAGTGAGCAACCATCTATTTCATGAAGCCTTGTTTCGAAAGACAAAGATATTTTATCTGGAGACGAAACGGCAGGTTTTTGAGTGACTGGGATATCTATCAAGCCCCAAGGTCGAGCTGGCACTGACCTGAACACAGCCTCTTCAAACGCTGGCCCAGTAGGCTCGACGGCCACAATTGCTTTCACGAATGCATGGCGCGCGTCGGCAACCGGCTACCCATAGAGTTCGCCCCGAGAGTGAGTTACCAGGATAGCAGCTTCGATCGCGTCCAGCAGTGCTACATGCGCGTCGCGTGTCCGAATTTGTGCTTCTGTGTCATTGGAGAGGAACTGCAGAGTGGAGGATTAGGAAGCGTCGTAAATTGGATCGCCTTTTGTGCTATTCCCCGCACACTGAGTGTCCTTGTTGGCCCGCGGCAACAAATTGTAACGAGCAGCCGCAGTGAGGCGATCATCTTCAGCACCACAACCATGACCCACAATTCGAGTTAGAAAGGAAAGTAGACACACAATGCGGCGCATCAACACGATGTCGAAAGCGTCGTTAACAAACAACTTCGAAATCCGTTGCGCCGAATTTTGATGGCGCTATTGCACATCGTGTCCACTCCTCTGTTTGCCCTGCATCCAAAAAATTCAGTTGCAACAACCCTTCAAACAAGTGATGTACAATATTTGTATTATATTAATAAAAATGGACATAGGAATGTGCAATTTGTATGTGTAGAAGTTTGGAATACCAAGCAATGTTGCATTTAATAACGTGAATGAAAAATTATTGATTATTAAAAATAGTGGCGGTAAGAAAATCAAAAAATCTTTTGTGGGTGCAATAAATCTAGAGCGACCTTATATCTTACAGGAATAGATAAAGAGATTATTTGACTTGTTGGAGAAAATAAAAGTAAATACTTTTACAAACCCAAGTGATACTAGATTTAGTATTTTAGATATTAAAAATTAATGACCAAGTTACAACAATAATGATTAAGATTTATCATGACCAAGATAAATGGCACCTCAGACAACAACTTCTTAAAACAAAATTGTGACTCAAGTTTATATCTACACAGATTTTATTTTATTTTATTTTATTTTAAATGATCATATATTTCTCTGTATTATTTGGTTTTTATTTAGGATTTGAATAGTAATTAATTTTCAATTATAATAGAGTAAGCTTATAGATCTCAATACTCCCTAAAATTATTAATATGCATTACATGAATATATTGAACTTATAAAGTAGCCTCTACTAAAAACAAAAATAACAAGATTCTTAAATAACAATGAAGTCTAAAATTAATAATTAGATTTAACAAGAATTAGTTTTTGTTTACATCCACCAAAAGTTATAAAATTGTGTTTTTTTCTAAATGTAAATGTACTTAGATATGTAAGAATTATTTGTTATTACTATTTTTTCACTTTTTATTTCTTGTTGGGACCAGGTTTATCATTATGATAAAATTTACAACGTTAGAATTCTTTAGTTCTTCTTGATTCCAATACAACTAAAACAATAAAAACACCGCCTTATAATATTTTGCATTTGAAAATTTTAGCAAAATTCAAAATTCAAAATTCAAAAAACACTAAAACTAAAACTATGTGAATTTTTTATTATAATTAATCTATCCATAAATTGTAAATATTTTTTTATTGATTAAGGTCCAATAATAAAAAAGAATAACAACATATTTACTTAATTTTTTGGTTAAAATATAAAAAGAAAATATTTTTAGAGTTTCAAAATTGTTTTTATATTATATATATATTCACATATAAACATTTTTCCAATATTTATTTTTAAAAAATATTACAAATGTGTTATAAGAATATTATTATAAATTGATATACGAAATATAATATTATAAACATAGATTGTTAGGTGTTTTTACAAAAAAATTCAAATTATTTAAGAAATTATTAAAGTCTCCTTATGTAAAACTTTTCAAACAATTGTTGTGAAGAATATTTTTTATGGATTTACTGTCACAGGAGCTTAGTTAAAAAGTTCTGTAAGTTTTTTGTTTTTGTTTTTTTCAACAACTTCTTTAATACATTTTGTTACCCTGTCTAAAATAAGACTTGCTAAAAAAGTTCCAAATACTATTCTTTGAACAGCATAAGTAGCTATTCATTAGATTCTCAAACAACAAGGTGGTATCCTTATAGATTATACTTGGTTATATAAAAATTTCTCTTTAATTAGTTTTTATTTTTTGAGTTTACTTATTTATATTAATATATCAAGTAGCATATCTTATAAAATAATAAGATTAACAGACATCATTATTCTAATAATTTTAAATTGAAATTTATAAAAACATCATTTTAAAAAAAAAGTATTGGAGTTCTTAGACAGTTGTAAACTTTTTAAGTTGAACTTAATGATATATTAACTTGTATTTTCTTTCTTTTATATATATGATAAGGTTTTATTCTATTTTAAAATAGAAATTTAATAAAATTAATAAAATTTAAAAATTTAAAAGTAAACAAAATTATTTAATTATATATTTTGGTACTGAGAGAATAATTATTACTAAATTAGAGGTTTCAAAATATAATTGAGATTTGTAGTGATTTTTTAATTGTATATAGTATAAACCAATGAGAAAATATTAAAAATAAGAAAAAAAATGATTTACTTTTAAGTCTCTTTGTATATTTAGTTTGGTTGAATATTCTCATTCAAGTTTTAAATTATTTATATTTTGTGTTTTTAAATAGTTTTGATATTAGATTCTTTATTTTACAAATTATTTGTTACATCCTTTAAATGTTTTTAATCATTTAATTATTCCATTTTAAATATTTCAAAAAATGTATTGATCTCAATAATATATCTTCTTAATTTTGTTGATACTTGGAATTAAACTTCATCAAAGTTTCTCTTGCAATTTTTTTATTATCTCAACCGTTAAATGGTTAAATAATTATCCTTGAGTTGTTAATAATTTTAGGTGTTATTGTAGGACCCTTTGAAATTAAATGCTTGATATTTAAAAATAATTAAATAAATCATAATTATACATATCTATTGGATCTTCTTACAAAATTATTTATCTTAATATAATAATATTTCAATTAATTCATACATTAAAATTACTGATCCTATTTAAATTACTCTTTTTTTAACATATACTAAAATTTGTTGTGAAATTTGAAACTCAATACTAATTTATTGAAACAAAAATCCATGACATTATTTTTTTTCTTAAAAAAAAATCAAACACACACACACACACACACACATATATATATATATATATATATATATATATATATAATCAAAATGGGTTTTTCCATGTTTATATTTAATTTTGAGTTCATGTTTCAACTAAATTATCTATAAACACATCCAAAAGGTAAAAAAGAAAAAGAAAAAGAAAAGTGTAAGATCAAGCTAAGTATTATAGTTCCACATTAAACCACAACCAATACTTGTTTGTTGATTTGAGATACATGCATCTTAAACATATATTTTACTTACTTGAAATGTCATATTCAATAACTCTTTCCTAAAAAATAATTCAAGAACCAATTATTAAGTTCAGGCTTTTGTTTTATCATTTCAAAAATAATGAATCAGAAGTGAAATTCAACTGTTTCAAAAGGTATTTTTAGAATCCATAAAAATCACTTCAAAGTATGAAAACGAAGCTTATTGGGTGTATGGAAGTGTGGTGCACAGGGTAATAAGGTGAATTATTGTTAGTACGTAGAGAGATGTTTTATTCAACTTTAGTGGTATTTTGGTGACATTGGGAAGGCTGAGATGAGATTTATTAACCCCTTTGCTGCAACCCCTGACTGTGTCTAATATTGGAAGAGAGAATATCAAGGAGCTCAGCCATTGGCAGATAATGAAGGGCTTGGAAGGCTTGGTGTGTACAGCGTGGCATTGGGCCAGGGCCAGACGTATCGATAAAGGATCTGACTAGCTGACCTCAATCTCGTATGCAGAATTGCTTTTTGACAGGTAAGCCACGACAGATTCCACCCACATCACGGGCAGATATGGACGCCGTTCCGGCTTAAGAATCGGGCCTCTTCTCTAAAACCACGCTGTTCGAACCTGCTGTTGGAATTCAAATCGTACCAGGACAACCAAGCAGGAAATGGCGCGTATAACCAATCGTGTCCTCTGACACTCAGTGTGAACGCAAGTCATCAGCATGGAGGAGGGAGTGCGAGGATGTGACTGTGCGTAAAATGGCGATGCGTCGACGTCTCGCCGCCCTTGTTTGGATCTTGTGGTGATTCTGTGCGCGGAGGCATCCGTGTCGCTTTTGTGCATTGTTTACAGATCAGGGAAATCTGATCGATTGACCAGCATTTGGAGGAGTGTTGGTGCAGAGGGAGATCCGGTTGCAGACAGTGAATGTGAAGTGATTGGCAGCAAAACGCAGATGAATGTGAATAAGCCAATTGAGGAGTCATGGCGACTACGATCGAAGGGTATTTATATAGTTTTGGCCCGAGTCGGCAAGGAGGAGTCTACAGCATTCTCACTTTCTGCGTCTTGTCGGGTCGCCATTTTTCGCAATCTCGGCACAAAGGAGATCTGGTTTGTTCCCCTCGCTGTCGCTTTCTCTGGTTTGATCGGATCAATTGTTTTTGCACGGTTTTCAGAGTTGCTAGGCGTAATTTTGTCGGTGAGGTAGATCCCGCAGGACTGCAGTGACAAATAAAACACAGCTGGTTCGACAATTGCGCGAGATCAGCTCAGTGGGCTATTGCCAATCTATTAAGCTCAGCAATTGCGTAATTCATGGAGCCGTTCAACTCTACTAGATCGAGCTGTAGATTTGTTAATCTCGAAATTTAGATTCAATCATAGCATGATCTTCTTGCATGATTTGAGCTCCTTTTAATTATTACCATGATTGTACAATCTAATCGGTTGATTTTCAAATGGTTTAATCCTTTCAATTGCGAACGTTTTTGACATTATTGTTGCATACAATGGCCCTTTCGCAGCTTGGCTCTTATGAATGACATATTTGAATTTAAGAGATTCCCTCCAACGAATAAGTTGATTAGAATTAATACCTTCGAACCTGGTATCTGCGTCTTCTACCTCGTACTTATCAATGTGCAGAATCCTCAATTACGAAGCATACTGTCTGAAGCCGCTGTGCATAGAGAAGAATGTGATTGTTAAGGATTTTTTTAATTCAGCCGACTTTGATACGAATTGCAATATATCTAATCTTAAAAAAATCTATCTAGACATATAGTTAAACTTTTCTGATTTATGTATGAGACTTTATTTTTCATGTAATATTTAATTGCCTTGATTCAAGTGCTGGTAGTGGTTCCTGCAACCAGGTTTCACTGCGATCTGGAATCCTTGACGCGGACCACCGTGTCGAGGACACAGGCAGACAGGTTGTGAACGGCAAGGTATAGTTTCATCATTTTTTAGATCCAATTCGCTGGATTTGAAATGCTGCCTCGTATTAGATCTTACAATGATTAAATAAGGTTCTTCTCCAGGAGTTTAGGTTCAGTTGTGTGTAACTAACCTGAACAGCGCATGATAGCATCTCTTTATCGTAATGAGGTTTGCACTACGCTTTCATTGGTAATATAATCATTACTGTGACCTACAAAATATAGCCAAATTCAAATATAATTACTCGAGTGTTAGATTAATGACATGTGTTTGTTCGGATATATGCATGTAAAAGTATTTTCATCTTGAAGTATTGTAATTATTTGTTGTTATGACAGATTCTGTACACTCTACGTCTGTATAATGTAACCGACGCTAAGAAGGAGGTTCTGGTAAGTCTGAAAAGAGATAGCTTATTATTTTTGCGTATTGATGTTTCAGAGTGCTAGATTAGATGACTTTTCTGTAGTTTTCTTTTTGACAGTGAAAGGAACCCGTTAAGTATTTTAGGGATAATCATAGAGAAATGTATATAGGTCATGGAGGCCTGTTGTATAGTGTCAATATAATCTTTTCCAACCATTGTTGAGCATGTTCATGTGTCTTGCTGATTAGTGACTTATATGGTCACCAGGTTGGTGCTGTGAATAGCGAGGAGATAGCAGAGTGGCTAAAGGCTTTCACTTCCTCTCTTGGGCGGGTTTGTTGGACCTTCACCAACTAGTAATCAGATATTATTATCGTGATGATGTTGTCTTCTTTTAGTTTTCAAAATTTCAATTTGTTGCTATCTTTTACTTGCTCCTCTATTTGAAAATGCTGGTATTGTTGTTTTCATCATGGGATGATTCATTCGAAATGAGTTGGACATGTTCAGCCATTTGAAACCGTCTCAGCTGAGCCATGGACTCCCACTATCAGCCTCCCATTCGCTTATTTTGGCGAGCAATTGTAAGAGTCAACCCTTACTTCAGTATTTTATTTGGTTAACTTTTATATTGTTACTTAGCATGTTTGGATCTCTGATCATGTCACTCTCTAGATCTTTCGAAGACCAAGTCATCGGCTTGCTCTTCCTGTAGGCAATCGCAAAAATCACTAATTCTGGCAAGTTGATTTTTCTTGAGCTAAGCACATTTTGGTTAGAGAAACTCATTTATGTGATATGATATAATGGCGTGCTTGAAGTGCTGGCGACACAAGTCCAACAGCTTCACCAAGGCTGCGACCTGACTCATCGGCATTGCATCGGCAAAGAGAGAAATCTTACACTAGCTTGACTACCATAGGCCATGGTCAGCACATTCCTTCATGATGAAGCTAAGTGGTTGTTATATTTGATAAGTTTGAGCTGCGTACGTTTTTGATCTCAGGGTAGAGCAACGAGTGAGAATTTTCATCGAGCAATTTACCTTATACAGTTTATGGCTAGAGACGTATCATTGCATAGCTCTCGTGTTGGTGTGTGCAGAATCGCCTACACTGGAGAAAAGCCCCAGTTCCGTTGGATTTGCCGAGTCAACAGGTGGTGGCCAGGCATCAAAATGGAAGCTAGTGCGCTCTGAAAATGGTATACCCTGTTTCATTCAGTTCAGTCCATGTTTAACATTTACTAGAGTGCAAGTATGGCACTGATCAGATTGATTTTAGGACTGATCAACTATCATCATAGAATTGATCATTTTAGTTAAGCACAGATATCAGATACCTGAACGACATTCGGGTATGAGTGAAGTCTAAAGCAACGGATGGTTTGGATATTCTATGCAGGATTGAGGTTCTTCCAAGAGAAAGCGGAATTTCCTTTAGTATACAAGGTATTGTTGCCTTTTGGCGGGGAACGGTATTTCTGCCTTTATTAGTATTGCAGCGCTTTTATTATCTTACTTCGTGTGATTTTGCTTTCCAGTAAAACCCATGCGGAGGATTATGATAAATTTGTGACGAAAGTTTTGCTATGATTACCTGCAGCTACCAGTGATGAAAGCAGTTGGAGTGGTGAAGGCTCCTGCCGATCAAATATTTAATCTTATCATGGACTATGGGCCAGAACGTCAACAGTAAGTTTTGACAATACATTTCAAGAGAACGCCATACTTGCATTTTTTTGTTCTTTTTCTTTTTACAACGTCAAATCTTATTGGTGTAGGTCCACGAGTTGCTCTGATTATGCTATTTTAAATGGATATGAAAGAATGTGGAGGTCGAGGGTTTTTAACTCGCTGACATGGTGTGCATTTCAGATGGGATCACACTCTTGAATCTGCATCTGTAATTGAAACTATTGATGGTCATTCAGATGTCGTGTATATTAGACTTCGGCAAGATTGGGGGTAAGTAAACTTCCTCTTTTTTAATGCTCGTGAGTACTCACCCTTGTATTTCATATTAACCAATAATATTTTTAGAGCGATTTTTTTTTTTTTTTTTTTTTTTTTTTTTTTTTTTTTTGTTTTTTTTTCCTTGAAAAACAATGACTTCTGTTATTATAGTAATCTGAATTTGATTTCCTTATTTGAACAAATAGTCTGATCAAGTCTTTCTGCGCTTGTGGTTTGAACATGCTATGGATATTCTTCTAAAGATTTACCTGTGCATGCTAGATTTTCACGACAAAGAGATCTTTGCTTATCTCGTTATTGGAAACGAGAAGAGAATGGCGCATATTGTGAGTGGTCAATCTTATATATTTCCTGGAATGCTTTATAGTCTAACTGTGGTGTTAGCTAACATGTGTTGTTTGCATCAACTAAACTATAGTTAGACTGATAGCACATCGGCATTTTTAAGCACAGTCTAAATGTTTTTTGAATTTTCTTCTACGAACTGTGCTTGTTGAAGTTGCTAGATTCTTTCCACGATATCAAGAATCGTTTTGTATAGTAAGTATATCTAGTCTTTTGGACCGAAAATCAGGATGTGTACTGCTGTATTAATATTATTGTGCTGCGCTCTAATTTTATAGTTGGTGTCAGCCATCTTTTATAGGTCAGTACTTAAACATCCTTTGCAAGCTGGCTTTGTCCGAGCTTATATTCACAGTGAGTCCCGTTAAAACCCATTCTTTGGGCGTTTCAAATACTCAGCATTTTGACTGTTTATTCGAGCATCTGGAATCTGGTGGTTGATTGTTAGCAAAATAAACACATTATGTAGCTTGAGATTATTAAGCTGCCTTGTGTCAAGGTATTGCTAATCAGAAATTTCTGTGGGATGCCGACGGTTCTAGGTGGTGGTTACATTGTGTCACCATTAAAGGTTACTGGCGGGGGAAAGCCTCGTACATTGGTGGAGTCTGTTTTGGAAATGGATACAGCAGGTTGGTCATCGTTGTTGGGCGCTGGATTTTCTGGCTATCCTACTCACCTTAGGGATTCCCTTCTGCGAGTTGTTGCTGGTATATCTCATAAGCTGAAACAATTACTGTTGATCTGTATCTTATGAACTTTTCTGATCAGTAGAATTACAAGTATTGTTTCTGAATTCGTAATACTTAGTTTAAGTTGCTGCATTTAAGAGCAGTTTTGTGCAAACGAAACTTGAACATCTATACTCACCACAAAGCTTCTATTTTATATACGTCGGTGGTCTGCCTTCACAGAACTCATGCGTATTTATTTGCGTTCCAATGTTCATCTGCTTATATACTTTGGCAGGCATACGGGAACATGTTGCTGCTCAAAGATTCAATTCCTGTGTCACAATCATCAAACGACACATCATAGAAGAGTACACAGAAGGTTCTTTGCAAGAATCCAATCATGATCTTGCAGAACCTGTTAAGAACGCCCCTTTTCTCAGCACAAGTGATGACATTGAAGAATTTTTTGATGCCACTATGGACCAAATTTCTGAAACCTTCGAGGTCAGGCTTAGGATACCTGTGACTCTAGAGTTGATTGGATTAATTATGTGTTTGGTATCGTTTTATGTCCCTTTTTTCATGAATGTTTTGGTTCGAGACAATGTTTTATAAACTGTTATTTAATCTGAATTCATATCTTAGCTTTTCAATCTTAGATTTATTTTGGATGTGTTTTTTGGGCGATTAGAGAGAATTAGATAAATGAATCTTTTCTAAGCTCTTGCTTTGTGGCTCAACAGAGTGATCAGAATGTGTCTGAGCCAGTCTTGCCTACTGGTGAACATCTCAAGCCGCTCAGAGTCAAGGTTCGATCAGGTAAACTATTTTTCTATCTTATGTCAATTTAATAATACTTTGAAAAATGTGGTTTGTAACGGATGCTTCCTGTAACGAAAGCTGGGTTTTAACAGTAGAGAGCGTATCTCTTGAGCAAAAGTCCTGAGTTCAAAGAAGAGAGTCGATCTCAATATGGTTCGTTCACGTGCTCCTCATTATGATATAAGCTGAAGAGGGTGGCACAGGTGAATTACAAGTTAGTAAATACTGTCTATGACATGTGATGCGCACTTACTTATATCAGATTCTTGAAGGTGAAAAGTACATTGCTGTTTGTTGAACTAATTACGTGATTGCAGACCATGGAGCATTTGATTTGTCAAAATTCAGAGGCAGTGTAGACAGAGGCCCTCTGAAAGGTGGTAAACATTCTTTTGCGGAGCCTGATAGCAGTGCCTTTCTTCTCAAGGGCATCGATTCCCTTTCAACTGGGAAAAGAGTGAGTTCTCTTTTTTTTACTGTGCAATTTCAAGGTTGCGGTTTTAGAACGTTAGGTTGCACGTTGGTTTCTTGAGTTCATTTTGTCATTTTTGATTAGCAGGTTCCTGCAGGCCAGCCATTCTGCAAATTAGTCGGGATGGATTGGTTCAAGTCAAAAGACAGAATGGATCATATAGCAGGGAGGCCTCGATCCCTGGTTCAGGTGCGTCTGGTTTGTTTGAGATAGTCGATGAGTTGGTCAGGCTTTGAATTATTTAGTAAGGAGATCTCACCATGCTGATTTAATCAGGCAGCCTGAAGGGCGTTGTGATAATTGTAATGTGTGAATTTAATTTAATAATATAAGCTAATGGTAATACTGACTGGATCAATTTTATCATGCAGAGAGCGTGCCCAAATGAAGGGCTCTTTTTCTTTGTCATCAATCTGCAGGTACAGCATACTTTTCCCAAGTTTGTCACTGTGTTTCTTGACACTGGAACGAAATACGTTTGTGAGTTTTGAAATGACTTGTAAATTTATTTCAAATCATGTTCGTTAGTTATTACTCAAAACTTAATTTTTTCGTCAGAACTCTAATATTGCCATGGAATCTGTGGAGTTGGAATCAAATCCTTCGTGACATTGTACTCATGAATATTATTTATGTGTATACCTTTTGGCTGTCGTGCTGTTGTGGCTTTTATGAAGTTTCAAATTTCGTGATTTTAAAAAATCTTCAAGCTCGCCGGGCGATCGCCATGGGACAGTGATGGATTTATGTTCAATTTTTTGTACGTGATTAATTTATGTGTTAGGCTAGTTCAGATTACGTGGGGATCTGGATGTACTTACTGTACATTTTCCGATTTTCTTTTTGAGCCTGTTCATTTTGTGTACAGGTTCCCTACGCTTTACATTACAGCTTGGTTTTCTATTTTGTAACTGAAGAAGAGATTACAGAGGGTTCTCTTCTTCACAGATTCATATTTGGAGACGACACCTTTCGAAACAGCAGGTTATCTCTTATACCTGCTATTCCTGAGGTATGTGTAATACTATGTTGTCGTTGCATCTGCTACGCTGGGAGATATACGAAATTGAGTTTATGTAACACGTATACAGTATAATTCTTTTGGTGCTTTTTGCAGTACTTAAATTACTCGTACATTACGAAAATAAATCTCGAGATTATTGGGTTTTACCATTTGTGAAAAACGGCTTTACTTTTGTGATTGTCAGGGTTCTTGGATTGTAAGACAAGCCGTTGGCACAAAATCTGTCCCCTTGGGTCAAATTGTAGAAGCAAAGTATCATGTTGGATTTAACTACATGGAGGTATACTGTTGACAGATTCAACCTTTTCACAAGTATTGCAAAGTATAATAGCTCAGTGAAGCATATCTACGTCTTTTAATGTGTGATTTTTGTATCTATGTTTTCTATGCAGTTACTAGACTTACTCTCTTCTTCGGTGTGCCGTTTTAAACAATTGATTGGAGTATGTCGATTAATAGAATCTGGTGGTATCTGCAGATAGACCTAAATCTTGGATCTTCAGGTGTGGTACGGGGAGTCATGGGGTTAGTCTTCGGCTATATATCTGCCCTAGTAGTAGACATGGCTTTCTTTATCAGGGTACGTGAGTCCCTGCCACAGTCATAACTTTCAGAAACGTACAATTCTCTGATTTATCTTGGGTCTCATTTCGATATTATGATTGTAAGAAATAGTGGATTTTCTGCCGTTATTCTGTTACCAGCTGAGGAGCAAGCGTAATCTTGCAATCAACTGTACAAGATAAAGCTCTGTTTCCAGCTTCACTTTGATGCACAACACCGCAGACTAAGTTAGATATCTTCTGATGCTCTTTCAGGGAGAGACTGCAGATGAGCTACCAGAGCGGCTCATCGGTGTTGGACGCTGCTCTCACATTCAACTGGATAAAGCCGTAGATCTTCCTGCAAACTAGGAGCCTGTACGATCGAGTTAGAAATTATACGTGGACTATGGATCCCAGTTCTCAAGTTAACCAACAATTACTAAATACATCAACCATAGATCTAGCAATTACACCGTTTAAAGCAATTGTTCTCGTCGCAATCACAATCGTGAACAAGGATTCATTTTAAGGCTTACAACATCCTTCGCAGGTTACATCAGGTGGAATTGCATAATAAATTTTTGTTGCTGTGGATGCGTAAATTATTTGAATCATTGCACAGTAGGGGTATTCATGGACTCGGTTGTACGCCTTTCTAATTACAAGCACTTGTGTGTTTCTGTAGCATTGCATTTATATTTAAATCATTTTGGAATTGCACAATTATCTTGGTTACACAATGTGCCGAATTCTACAGAATTCATTCTTTTACTACTGTAAGTCATACTCGTAGACCAATGATTTCTTTTGTTTTTTGTAGGTTATGTTTAAAATCCAACAATTTGTGTATGCATTGATATGAAGATGAATTATACTTGAGATGCATACAGTTGGATATACTGATATATATAAATAACAGTTGGATTATAGCGAATTCATTAAAAAATTTACAGACAAATAAAGAGAATACATGAAAGGAGCCTAATGATATATTTATTGTACTTATTTTTATTGAATACAGATATCCTCTGGCTTGATTTATTTATTGATTTATTTTATTAAACTACAGAAGTAAATTATTAAAATTCCATACAGTAAGACTTTAGAAAAAAAGCCTTCAAAAATAATGTTGTACATATAGAATATAATATTTTTATTATACTAAATATTTTTGTAAATAAAAAGAGCATTTTTCCTAATGTTTGTTATTGTTATAATTTATATGTCTTAATTTAATGTATTTAAATATATATATTTTTATATTTTATTTCTTTCAATGTAAAATCTAATTATGTGTGTATACATATATATATATATAAGTGTTTATATATATTTTCTAGGTTACTTCTATACATATTAAAAAAATCATTAAAAAATATGTTAATAATGACACAATATCTAAAACAAATTAATGCAAAAGTAAATACAATAAATATTCAATTGATGCAATAATTATATTATGTCTTAGGGTATATTCATCATGTTCCTATCTTTTGTCTTAGGATGGTATTCTTAATGTATTCATTCAACCTCATATGCATTGTGCAATAAAATCTTCATTTTTATAGGTTAAGATGCTCAACTTTTGTTTGGTCAACTTTAACATGTTTGTAATGATAATCCAAATAGTTTCTTCAAGCCAGCTAGATCAACTTGCTTCAAGATTAAGCTGTGTTGTTTCTATATCAACTTATTCTTATTTTAGTCATTGTTTGTATTGTATATTTTTAGTTGTCATTATTTCCTTGCATTCAACTACTTCAATGATTTCTTGTTGTAACATAATACTAGTGGCCACAAGCTCTTTGTATTGTCCTTTGAGTTATCATTTTTGGACTCCATTATTGTTATTTGCTATTACATCATGACTAACATTGCCTTGTATTTGACAATTGTATGATGCATTCTTTCATGATATCGTGATGTATCATGGCTAATAGATGAAAGAGTGAAGAAAATATTATATTATAGAAGATCTTATTTCAAAATATTGTAGCAAATTATCTTATAAATATAGATAATAGTCAAAAGGTAATAAAACTAAAAGTATAAATATTACTTTTTTACAAAATAGGCTTCTATTTACTTTTTAGGACTATAAATAAAGAAAAATAAGGTAGGATAGAAAAATGAAGAATATAGGCTAATATATAAGGAAACTAGGAGTTTATTTTAACAAAAATTACCTCAAAAAAATAAGAATTGATATCCAGAAAGAATTGGTTGTCAACTAAGGTTGAATTAGACTCCAAGGTACAAAACCATGCAATTATGGCGACTTTAGGATTCTTTTGTAAATGAAAGAGTGGAATTGGAGAAAAGACTTTATAGGATTTTTTTAAACATTAGATTTGAGCAATTTGAGTCTGTAATGACTTTGTAAGAGCTTAGCAAAATAAGGATTGTTTTGGTGAATCTAGTTTTGTGAAATAAAAGAAAGAGTTTATATTTTGGAGAAATCTATAAGTTTGATAGTAGATCTACAAGTGATAATTTGTAGATTTATATTTAAAGCTGTTCTTATTGTATGTTATAAATTTGAGCATGATCGAACAATTAGATTAAAGGTTATTGAAGTTCAAGTGAATTGGAGTCTTAGAAATGAGGTTTTGAGAATTAGTGAAGGTTTCTAAGATTTTTAGTAATTTGCTAGTTGGATTGAAATAAAATTTATGTATGAAATTAGCAGTCTTAATTTTCAACATATATGTGAATTTTGAGAGGTATTTAATAGTCGAATTAAGAGATTTTAGCTTAAAAGATTAGCATTAAGATTGAAGAAGAAGGCTGGCCAATATCCAAGAAGATTTTAGAGTTTTTCTTCTATTTGGTAAGTTCAATCTTCTTAAAAATATTTGTACTTATTGTTAGCTTAGTTTTTAAGAGGTATGTAAAATTTGAGTTGAAATTATTAATTTGATTATTAGTTATGGATGTTTCAATCTGCCATACGATTTATTAAGAATTTATTTAACATTTAGGATTGATTTAGGATCTAAAGTTTGATTAGGATTTTTCTAGAGTTTATCTAAGATTTGTTTAAGGTTTGATTAGAATTTGTTTAAGATTTGATTAAGTTTTGTTTAGAATTTGATTGAAATTTTTCTAAGATTTAACTAAGATTTGTCTCAGATTTAATTAGTATTTATCTAAGATTTATCTAACATTTAATTATGATTTATCTAAGATTTTTTTAGAAATTGATTGAGATTTGATTAGAATTTATCTAGGATTTGATTAAGGTTTTTCTAGGATTTAATTAGGATTTGCCTAGGATTTGACTAAGTTTTGTTTAAGATTTGATTAATATTTTTTAAGGATTTGATTAGAAATTTTTTAGGATTTTATTAAGATTTTATTAAGATTTGTTAAAGATTTTTTTAAGATTTGATTAAAATTCAATTAAAATTTACTTAAGTTTTTTTTAATATTTTAAAAATAATTTATTTAAAAATATAATTGAATTTAATAAATATTTGATTATGTTTATTAAGCTTAAATTATAATTTATATATAATTCTATTAGAATTATTAGGACTTATTGTTGCATTTTTTTTTTTTTTTTTTTTTTTTTTTTTTTTTATAGCCAAGTGCTCAGCACATTCTCAAATAAGATTTCACATAATACAACAACGCTTTGAGTATATGATATTGGTGTTTGTCTAAATTCATTACATGATAGCCACTTGAATTTCCATTGTTTCTTGCAACATATTTTGATATACTTGTATTTCAAAAATCACCACTATTTAATTGGCCCTGTTACAAAGTTATTGCTTCAAATCTTTATTTTCTACGATTAGCCATGTGCTTATTTTGCTTTATCTTTTGCAATATTTAACAAAATTTTGATCATGTCTGCAATAGCTTAAAGATGATATTGGATCGTATTTTTGTATAGATATTCAATAACTATTAGTTATGGCTCTAGTAGTTTTGGAGTAAGTTGTGAGGCAACTAGTATGACTTCATCTACTTGAACTTTCTTTTTTTGGAGTTGGATCATGGTTTTTGTGCTATATTTGAGTCTTTGTAAGTCATTTCTAACTTAAAAGAGTGTCAACAATCTTGGATGGACCTTCTTGTTGCAAACTATGTTCAAATATCTTCAAATATATGACATCAAGAACCAACCAATGGATGTGTTTCCTTCCCAAAGTGTTCTAACGTGATTAAGTTCAATTCGGAAATGTTTGTTAACAAACATACCTCAATTGATCTTTTTTCATTGACACAACATAAGATAGTCCTTTTAATACTCTCAATAGATACAATAACAATTATTATAAAAAAATATTATTGTCATAAGCCCCTTGATTTGAATAATCATAGATTCTTACAATACTTCTACCAACTATTAGTTTTTGTATGCATGATTAACCATTTCGATCTTTTGCCCAAAAACTTTAATATCTAGATAGTTGTGTTGGCAAGATAAACTACTCTAAGGTACTACTTCTTTGAAATTCCATCCATAGAAATGTGAAAAATAGGCTAGAGTATATTGCACCTCCATATCTTCCACTATATAGGTTAAAAGTTGTTGTCAAGGTGCAAAGTTTGTATGAATTGTGTACACGACTTGGATTGGCAATTATTCTTCAGATCATTGTAAAAATTTAATAAGTTAACACCATCCACTTATCCTATGTCAAAGTTCACATGCCAAGTATTTATGGCTTTGTGAATATTGAACTTCAGTTTTGTTATTGTCTTTGCAACTTTTAAATAAACATGAATCAATACAAAATATATACACAAATTGACAATTATCATAAGGAATTTGATAGTGAAAAAGATAATGCAAAGAAATTGAATTGGGATAGTGAGGTATAAGATGAGTAGAATTTGAAGTAAGAAAAAAAAAAAAAAAAAAAAAAAAAAAACAAAACAAATAGTCATTGGTTTGGAGCACTGTCTCTTATTCCAACTTTGATTTTTGAGATCATAATGAGTCTTTATAGATGCACTCAAATCACTCATCATCGGCAATAATCATGGTAGCAGGATGTCAATAGGGATCTTCAAGTAGATTTTAATATATCCAAATTGTGTTGTAAATGGGGACATTGAAATTTTAATAGTAATGATTGTTGATTGTGGTAGCAAAATTAATTTGATATAGATAGAATGAAAAGTGACTTGCAAAAAATTTGGTGTTGTTTGGATTGACAGGTTGCTTTCAATGTTGGATTTTGTTTGGATTCATGTATTTTTTTATTTATTTAAAGAAACATTCTATTCAAATATTTTTTAGAAGGACAATGGATTAGCAGAAATATTTGAATCTTTTAAGTAGTAATGTTTCAACTTAACCGCATTTGCAATCATAGTTTGTGGATTATAATATTTGTTATTTATTAGAAAAACCATATTATTGAGTAAAAATAACTATATTTAGTAAGGCCCTTGCCATATTGAGTTGAACTTGCTAGTACAGATTTTGGAATCTCCACAATACTACAAAATTTTATCTTTTTTTGGAATGTGTGCCTTAATTGGTTGAATTGATAATATGCCACTATTTTGGTTTGATAGTTCATTACATTGGATTGTGTTTTATCTCTTAATTATTTTATATGATCGATATTTGCCAATTGGGCTGCTAAAATCTTGTGTGGTATATAATCTTTGGGTATTAATGTCTTAAGTATTGAGGTGATATATTCTATCAAAAATAGAGATTATGTGCCATATACTAATT